GTGAAGTGTGAAGTTTGTGTGTCCCGTCTATACGCCAGCACACAAGTGAATTGCTACAGTTTGGCAGAGAGAAGCATGGGAAACATGTACAAGCTTCTTTGAGTGGATTGAATTAAGCCATGAAAGAGATTAATCTGTTTTTATTTTTAGACACATTAAAGGGTGTGCTGACATTTTTACAAGTCTGTCTTAAAGAAAAAAAACATTTCAGATAACGACGAGTGAAATGAACAGATTTTGTTTCCTGTCCCTTAAACAGAAATAACAGAAGTGATCTCTTTATAGCCAGCATTAGCAGAAGAGGCTCTATTGGCAAAGAGCTGAATGTGATGAATGCAATCATCACAGTACTTCAAAAATTAAAAAATCAATTCTGGTTCAAACCAGTATTTAGCAATTTAATTATCGTCAGTCATTTGGTCAAGGGATCATTTAAGTAAACTTTTATTTGGCATTGATGAGTATTTTGCCAAAACTAGACTAAAATTCTACCAATTCGAAAGCTAAAGGTTCATGCTGGAATGCTAACGTGCTAATTTCTACTCACTGTTGAAGCACATTAGCAAGCCAAGTGTAACACCCTTTTCAATAGTTGGGATACAGATTTTAATAATTACATGAGTACCAATTGCTAAGGTTCGACTGCTGGAGCAAAGTGGATGAATGAGTTTGAGGAACTTTTATTCATTTGGATAATATGAATAATAACTTACATATACAATAAAAAACAATAGCATTACATAAAAGGAAAAATGGGCCCAAATAATGGAAAACAATAAACAAAACATACCTCCGGGGGATTTGACTCAGTGTCTCTAGTGTCAGCTGACACCTCTTATTTGAGTGAGTCCAGCAGTAAAGTCTCTCCTTGCAGGATGTGCAGAGGAACAATGAAATGCAGTTCTCTCCGACCACTTAAGTAGAATTTGTACATTTCAAAGTCCATCCAAAGAATTTCAATTTATTTTGAGATCATACATGTTAACGAATCCTGGAGGGGTGGCTTGCCATCTTTGGACCGGGTCATCAATGAGTCATTCATCAAAAAAATGTTCAAAACTTGTTAGAGTAACATTAAAAAAGAATCTGCTGTTTAGACATTCATACATACGTTCTTTCTTATCTTTTCTTCATACATACTAGCAACAGCAATAGCTGCTATAGCCATTAGCACATCATTGTTGATGGCTTAGCTTGTTTCTGAACAAGAATGTTGAGAAGTTAACTCACCCAGAAGAGTCCCAGCAATTAGAAAACTCTCCTCCAACTAAACAATGGTTGCCTGAAAGTTTGTTTCCATAGCTTCCTCAGCAAAATCCAACAAAAGAAGGCAAACACGTTTCTCTCTTGGGGCTCCCACTCTATATATTTCACAGATCATCAGGTTTGTGAAGTATATAGATTATATCTCATCAAAATAATTTTACTTCATAAAACTTTTTAATTAACTCAGCATTTCAACCTCACTCATAATTGAATGAAACCCTTAATAATGCTCTAGGGTTACTCAAGATTTTGCTAATTAGCATTCGGGCATTTTTCAAAGCACACATGGGAAATCAAAGTATTGTACAAACTGAAAATTTGAGCTGTTGATGCCAATAAGTGACAAGGTAGAGGTTTGCCAAAGTAGCATAGTTTGTCCGGAGTAGGATCTTAAAATCTGAAGCAAATCAGCGAGCCATGTAACAGCTGAGATACTTTACTTAAAAAATTATTCTACTCACTCAGAGTCTAAGTACCACATGAGACGTCCATCCATTCATTAATGTCTCTTAATGTCTTTAAACACTTATCCACTTCAGGGTCAGTGGGGGCTGGAGTCTATCTCAGGGGACAATGGTCAACAGGTAGGGTACACTCTCGACAGGCTGCCAGTGGTCACAGGCCTAAAAAAGAGATAAAGAAAATCATTCACACCTTTGGCCAATTTAGAATTACCACTTCACCTAACAAGCATATCTTTAGACTGTGGGAGGAAGCCCGAGCACCCAGAGAGAAATTTTCACATTTATACTGCAGGAGCCACTTCTATTATCATTGTGCATTACAGGCAAAAAATACTACTCAGTTTTCATTGAGAGCTGGTACTTCTAATACTCTTAAAACTCTTTTTTATAATCTCACTGTATCGGAAAGACTTTAGCTCATTGTTAGTGTCATCCATGCATTCTCTTCTGCTTATCTTTAGAAGGGTCACAGGTGTGCTGGACCCTAACCTAGCTTCCATAGGGCAAAAGGTGGGGTACAACCTGGTATGGTCGCGAATCTAACACAAGGCTGACACAGAGAGACAGACTGTTAGTTTGCTGTCATTTCAATGAGATTAATGCTGTTTAATTCTTGTTGGCCATTAGCTGAGGTGCTGCATTGTATCCTCCAAGGACCAGGAAAAACAAGGGGAAGTAAATATTTTTTAGACAAAAAATAGCTCTATAACTCTAGACTATTTGAATATATACATCCCTAATTTCTATATAACTAGCAGAGGTGTGACCAAGTCATTGTTTTGCAAGTCTCAAGTAAGTCTCAAGTCTTTATCCTCAAGTCACAAGTCAAGTCTCAAGTAATGTCAGGCAAGTCAGAGTCGAGTCTCAAGTCACTGGTGTAAAAGTCCGAGTAAAGTCACAAGTCTGAAACTTTGAATTTCAAGTCCTTTCGAGTCTTTAAAAAAAACAAAAAAAAAAAACGAAGAATGTTGCAGTTATATGCTAAATGTAAATATTAGACCATGTAATTTTAAAATCTGTGTTTTTTCTCAACACATGACGAAATAGTGAACTTAGAAAATATACACAAATTGTGAAATTGCACCTCTTTAAAATGCAACTCAATTAAACTTAGCTCCAAGAATAATTTTCACCGACAGTTCTGAGATAAGCTGCATGTTATTCTTGGATGCGCTTGTAGGGCCGGCTTTAAAATCGCATGACAAAAATATCATACACATAAAAAAAACTGTATCACCAACGTAGCCTGGACAACATTTTCTTGTTAGATGAAGTCATGATCTCATCGTAGCAAGAGAGAAGCACCACCTACCGTTCTTTATGCAACTTCAACTGTCAGAGAAAGTTGGAAGTTGTTCCATCTCTGTCTGTGATTCTCTTCTTGCATGTTTTGCATATTGCATTTCGGTTTTTTGTTGACTACTTCATAGTTTATGTACCTGAAAAAAATAACTCCTTGCAGCATTTTTGAGCGTTTTTTTTTTTAAATCTGGTTAATTTGATTGACTGTGCTACAGCTCACGCACACATACGTACGGAGTGTGGTTTGAATAAATGAATCAATGAATTGAATTAATGGTGCACACTTTCTATATAATATGTATGTTCAATTTTATATTTGGGGTGAAATATCAAGTCTTTTCAAGTAAACCGGTTCAAGTCCAATTCAAGTCCCAGGTCATTGGTGTAAAAGTCCAAGTCAAGTCACAAGTCTTAGAACATTTTTTCAAGTCAAGTCTAAAGTCATAAAATTAATGACTCAAGTCTGACTCGAGTCCAAGTCATGTGACTCAAGTCCACACCTCTGATAACTAGTCTAAACTAAAACATTGGGTCACTTTGTCAGACTATACGTCAGACTATACAACTTAGCTAACTGGCAAATCAGTAAATGTTAACCCTAAAATAATTTCACATCCAAAGTTATATGAATGCTTTATTTTTGTTTTGAACACATATCATAGTGTTATTTTCCTTCAAAATTTCAGCTTGTCTCAACGTCATAAATGGCCTGTTTAATGGATTCCTGAATGCTGTAAAGCTGAGAAAACAACACTGATCACTTCATTGGAGCTGAAAGAATGTGGACTACTTTTAGCTCCCACTGGTGCTTTGGTCCTTCTTTGTTCATGAGAATAGAAGCAGCATTTGGGCCCATAAATTCCCAGTTATATCAAGTTAGAACAAGCGGATAGCAGTGGTAGCCCCATGGAAAAGAATTTTTTTTTAAATTCACTTTATGTTGAAACCAGGTCACCACGTATGGAGTTAAGACGAAAATCCATAGAGAATATTGAATGAAACACAAGATTAATTTTTAATTTAACATTTGTTCACTAACATGAACCATCCATCCATGTATTTTACTTCTGCTTATTCAAAGTTGCATCCTGGTTGAAGAAACATCCTATTCCCCAGCAATCCTTTCTCAGTTTCTCTTGGAGTATCCTCAAGACACTTCTGGGTCAGATGAGGCAGTCCTGGTCTACCATTAGTCATCGCAATGGCTCTGCTGTCAAACAATCAGAGATTGTCTTCTGTTTTTTTTGTTTTTTTTAAATCATTCTACAATGCATCTTTTGTCCTCTCTTACCCCCATCACTCCAACCGGTCACGGCAGATGGCTGCCCCTCCCTGAGCCTGGTTCTGCCAGATGTTTCTTGAGGTTAAAAGGGAGCTTTTCCTTCTCACTGTTGCCAAGCACTTCCTCATTGTTGGGGTTTTTCCTCTATTATTGTAGAGTTTACCATAGAATGTAAAGCGCCTTGACTGCCAACTGTTTTCGAGATTTGAGCCCCAGCAACCCCGGTATCGGGGGGGGGGGCACAAGGGGCGAGATTCCGTAATAGGCTGTAACTTGAAGTCGTATCCATAGAAACCTCTGAATCTCACCTAAACCTCATATAAAGCATTTCTACAACCACCAAACACACACGCAACCAGTTTTTGCTTTGTGCAATCGTTTCAAATGTTGTTGCCAAGCAAAATAACCCAAGATCCTATGTACCGCCTGGAAATGCTATTAATTGCCATGGTAACCAGAGCTGCTCCAGGAAACACTGTGGAGCTGTTCTGACTTTAAGGGTGTTAGTCTTTCTCTTCTAGGTGAACGATGAAGTGAATGATGATGACTGTTGTTTGCAACTTGACTATATATTTGATTCTGGGGTCTGACTATGTTGCAGGTTTACACTTCAGGATGAAAAAACTTGACAAATGTTACATTCATCTACAATATGTGCTCACTTTTATTCCTTCTGGCTTTTGCAGAGAAACCAACAGTAATAGATGTGGGCATCTATATCAACAGCATCGGCCCTGTGTCATCCATTGATATGGTGAGTTATGGCTTTATCTCCATCGTCTGCCCCATCTGCACACAAACACATTTGTCCACTGCCCGATATTAGCATCATCAGACACGAAAGCTGTCATTCCTCATGCTGTATTTGGAGGCCACGTGGCCCATCACAGCTGTTTGTGTTGCGGCAGAAGCCAAGAAAGACAGGTGTGGACACTCTTTTTGTTTCCCTATGTCCTATGAATAAGCTTGAATTCATCAAGTTGGTGAGTTTAAAATTGCTGCTATGAAAGTATTCTGCTATTTAATTAGACATCAGTTTGGGTCTCAGTAGAGATGAGCCTCATTTTATTCCAGTTTTTTTCATTTAGTTACTGCATCTTTTCGACTGGCATGAAAATCACAAGAACAAAGTTCAACTGTGAGGGGGAAAAATGGGTTTGGAGAAAGACCAGGACATGGATCAATGGCTTTTTCATAATGGAGGGTCTGATCAGATTCAATAAAACATATGAAGAGCTGAAGCTGAAAGGTTGATGAGCAGTAATGAGAAAATAGCTACTTTTAAGACAACTAAACACATAAGCAGTCTGTTATTTGGCCTTCAGTGGAGTGCAGCAGACTAAATGGAAGCAACCTCCTATTATTTTGAATCCAAAGGGTCTGTTCTGCCGCTGTCAATAGAGTCAGATATGCATATTTTTCTCCTTTAATTTCTGTCTTCCAATATAAAAAATGTATTGGTTTACAAACAGACTAAATGATGAAAGTACTTCATCTGAACCTGCTCAGTCACAATATGCTTAGCTGGAGCAGTTGACTGGCGGTGTAAAATATTCCCAATTATAAAACAGATGCAGCCTTTTTGTATTCAAGCCCAATGGACTACATTTTAAAAGAGTGCACTGTACAAAGTTGTTTTAAGTCTACCTATTACACTTTCACTGTGGACTCCCACAGCAGAGGATGTTTAGGTTTTCTCTGAAAGTGAAAGCGGATAAATTCAATTTGGGATGCAAAATGGTGTTGCTGAACTCACAGTTCATTAAGTTGATTTTCTACTTTGTACTCCAAGGAGCCGGGAGGACTCGCACAGTCATTTTGAAAGATAGTCTTTGGAACTATTACTAAGGTTACCAAACTGTGACCAAACCAAATGCCAGCTAGGGCCAGTGTTTGACACTTCTTGTCCCGGTTGATTTGCTAACACTTCTGCTTGGTGTGTTAATGCAACTGAAATGGGGAGGAAACAAGAGTGCCTAATTTGTCACGAACAGTACAGAGAAGCACCTAATGCAACATATTACGGCTCAGCCAAACACATGTCCACTGTTTTGACAAAGAGGTTAGTCTACAGTAAGCCTTTTTTGTCATTGTATAATCCATAGCTATGTTATTTTCCTCTGCCTTCTTCACAGTAAAAGCCAACCTGTATTTCAGCAGATGAACTCTTTTAATATATAACCCTCTGAAGTTCCCTTTTTAAAAGGCACAATTCAGTTACTGTAAATATAGCTCCAATATAGAGCGTTAAACTGATGGGCTGCCTGTAGAGTTTATAGCTATTGGTAATTTCCAACCCCAGATGATGGCCAGTAACTGAAAAATCTAACTACATGTTGGGTCGACCAAGCTTGCAATGAGTGAATGGCATGGAATGTTAAAATGAGTTTCTGGTTATGCTGTAGATTTCTTGCAGAAGTCTAAATCAGGTATTAGTGTTTGGAGAGAAATCTGCTGCACAAATAAATAGTCTGACACACATCAAAACGTACTTAATGGTCCATTAAGTACGTTTTGATGTGTGTCAGACTATTTATTTGTGCAGCAGATTTTAATTGACTAAAACTAAGAGACGACATTTTGGGCTTTTGACTTTAGTAGAATCCAAGTCTCCAAGTTTCTAAATGTTGTCCATTTATCCATTTTCTTCCACTTATCCAATTGGGATTGGGGGTGGAGCTTATCCAGTCTGTTGCTGTGCTACCACAGAGAGGCAGACAGCCATTCAGAATAACCCAAATAAACAACATGCAAACTCCACCCATGAAATGCAAGGCCAGCATTTACAATTCTTCCTTGTATATGTTGTGCTTTCAATGTTGCTGTGTCCTAATTCCATGGATTTCCTCTGGCATCTTTTCACAATCCAAAGACATTCATATCATGTCAGTTGTTGATTCTAAATTGGTTGTATGTATGGATGTGAGACTGTGTGGTGGTTGGCTGTATCCCTGTGTTTCTGTAATGAAATAACACCTGGCGAGGGTGTACCCTGCCTTGCTCACACCCTATAACAGTAAAGATGCGCCCCAACGCTCCAGCGCCCTAGTAACCCAACGTTTATGGATGGCTTGTATTCTGGGACCTGTGCTACAAAAGGACTTCAACATACCCCAGATATCTTTTCCTTACCCTGCTTCTCTAACCTTACATATTATCACCAATTTAACCAAAGACAGTTTTAAAAAGGTGAGTTTTGAGTTGTTTTTTTAAAAATAACTTCAGAGTCCACAGCTCTTAATGTATGAGGGAGAGAGTTCCACGGTCTCGGGGCCACAGTGGCAAAAGCTCTGTCACCCTTAGTTCTCATCTTAGTCTGTTTTATAGCAAGTAAGCCCTGATCAGATGACCTCAGGGACCTGCTAGGGACATAGGGCTGTAGCAGATCGGAGATGTAGGGAGGTGTCAGTCCATGCAAGGCTCTAAATGTCAAGACCAGGATCTTAAAATGTACTCTAAATTCAACAGGAAGCCAGTGTAGCTGAAATAGCAATGGTGTCACATGTGAATACTTGGAGGATTTTGTCAACAGCCTAGCTGCAGCGTTTTGCACAACCTGCAGACGATCCAGAGGACCTTTGCTTAGACACATAAACAAAGAGTTACAACAGTCCAAGCATGAGGAAATAAATGCATGTATAGCAATCTCCAGTTCAGGGTGAGATAAAATAGGGCTTAACTTAGTCACATTTCTTAAATGATAAAACAAGAGCGAACCAGAGGTTTCACATGCCCATCCAATGTGAGAGTTGAGTCAAAAGTGACACCTAAATTCCTGATAGAGGATTTAACATACACAGAAAGAGGACCAAGGGCTTTCACTATCTGGGATACAAATCTGTCCGGAGCACACAGTTTTGAATGGATTGAGTTGGAGGAAAACAACCATTTCCCTATCTATGAGTGTATTTATATGAATGAGGAAGTGTTTGCAAATGCTGACAGGACTAGTAGCATTAGTATATTTTTATTGAAAGACAAAACTACAGTATTAGAGAATAAAAATAAATTATAAATTTAATATAAGGAAAGCTGACCAAAACACTGAATGTGTCAGTTAATAAACTAATCAGTATCACAGCTCTATCATTAAGATGTGTGAAGTCCTGACTTATAATTACAATTGTGTATTCCAATAAATGAACTGGCTACATTGATTAGATGTGCATGAGCAATCTGAGCCTTATTCTTTCAGCTGCAGCCCCAGTGGTGTTCAACAAGCTAAGAGGAAGCAAAGAAGAAAAGTAAGTTCACAGCGGCAAGCAGGCTTACTTGGGTGCTCAGTCTTTGGATTGTTTCACTGTATTCAGACGCGCATAACAATACAATTGATTGAAGCCAACAATGAAAAACAAATTCATATTGATCCTAAGTGGGGGCACACAGAGACTTTAGACACTACAATCCACAGAAACATCCTAGAATGGCTTCTGAATTGTTGTTGTTTTTTTCTTTGTGTTGTGATTTTGGGTCTCGGGCCTACCATACCCTAGTTACCATGACTTTGGAGAACATCTTTTAGCAGTCAAACCTGACGTCTTTTGATACCATAGGTTTCATTGATGAAGGGCCAGAGCAGCGTGAGGTAACTGAGGAAGTCCGCTCTGACAGCTCTACTTTTCACTCTGTGAAAAGCGATCACTCTATTGAGATGGATGTTATAAATAATTTCTTGTAAGTAATTATAATCAAGCATGAGACTGGCACTTAAAAATGCAATAGAAGAAGAGTTTTAAATGCACTGAATGCATTTAATGTATATCAGAGGAACCAAAAAACATAAAGTGAAATCTTAATAATTGTAACTTTGTGTTAAACATCTCATGAGAATCCTGTTCTGGACTGTACAGCGCTGTTCCTTTACAAGTATCCACCCACATGTTGTAATTAGCATAATAGAAGCTAATGTATGGCAAACTGATCATTATTCTAACAGAAGCCCCTTCAGGGTGATTCAGCAGTTAAATCAGAGATTCTTGATAACACTGAAGGGGCTCATTTTCCCATGATGTCTTCCTGCCCCCAGATTCCTGCTCTTTACACAGCGACATGAGTACAAAATGCATCAATCAAGTGACACTACTTAAAACAAGTCAACAAAAAAAACTAAAAAATGCTTTTGTTACAAACTAAATTAAACCAAAGTAGGAAGAAAAAGGAGTGAGAAAAATCTCTGTGGTGAAAGAAGAGATGAGACACCCTAAATGTAAAGTCTGGAAAAAAAAAAAAAATTGTGGCACTGGCCACGCCCCCAGGTTTGCTGCCCCCTAGTGGCCCCCTCTGACAAGATTGTTGTAAGTTGGTAATAATGTAATAATCATAAGAATCAGTAAAGCAATGTTTTTTTTTAAAAAACAGATCATTATGGATTTCAAAATTATAAATATTATTTGTTTTTCATATGTGCCTATTTTACATGATATCAACTTTAATTTGAAATTAATGGCGCATATAATTCTTTTTTTTTCTTCTAGTAACCTAAATCTAACAAGAGCATAATAAAACTAGAAATTCTGTTTTGGTGTGTCACCCCAATATTTTTAGTGTACTGTTAAATACATCCCAGTTTTTGTTTTTTGTTCTTTTTCTTATGTTAAAATGAAATGTGTAGTTAAAATTCTTTATACTGCTAGAAAGAGGAAATAAGCTGTATGAGAAAATGAATTTGATGTCCCTAATTGTGGTATAATTTGTTAACTGGTTGCTAAGCCCGAACACATCAGATACTTTTTTAAAAAAAAATTGTATTTATAC